TGGATGACCTCTAGAAACATTTCTTTATATCTCTAAAACGATAGCGGCACAAACGAAAATTTTTGCTGCACAAACGTTTGACACCAATTTTGTCTGATTTGAAGAAGGTGGGGGGGCCAACTTCACTCAGGTACATTTTAGTGCGTTACTAACTGTAACACTGTCCAACACTCTGGTGCAACTTCTGTTTGTTCATGAAGTGCCTTTGAAGAATCTACATTAGCAAAATAAAGTCCTCAGAATAATAATCGTCTAAGACTGCATTTAAGTTTTGTTAAAAAATGACAGGACAATGTTTTTCTGTACTCTGCTGTCACTTTGAACTCTGAGCTACAGTTTTTGTTTCATTTTCAGCATTTTTTCATCACTCCTTTGTTTGTGCAGATTAGCAAGCTTCTGTGCATCTTTCCTCCTTATTCTCTTTCATTTGTTCTTTTTTTTGCACATTTTTTCAGTTCTTTTTTACATAAATATATACTTTTTTCCGTTCATTTTTACACATCACTCATTGGTCCTGTGTTGGGAGCCAGCTGACAGGGATCCACTGAGGCTCGTTTTGTGCCTGCTGGATGAGCGAGCAGAGCTGCATGCAGGCATCCTGTAAGTCCTCATTCACCACAGTGCTGTCAAAATATTGTTTGTATTTCGCCTCAATAAGCAGGGAAGTCTCCTCCAGCTCCGAGAAGTCTTCCTCCTAAACACAAAGAAAAGTTTGATTTTGGTCATCAGTTTGCTTACTAGCAGTTTAGTCATTGGTGGTTCACTGATTGTCTCCATTTTACATTCAATAATGAGTTTTAATCAGATAAGTAGGTACAGAAACAAAAAAACACAAGTATCAGCAATGTAAAGCCACATTATGTAATATGTGATAAAATCAGGCTTCAAAATGTAATAAAAATACAACAAACTGCATTATGTGGCTAATAAATGTGCAAAATGTATTTAAAGTTTTCAACACATTTTGTAATACTGTGTCGCATTATGTAATAACATTACTACATTTTGTGGTGTATTGAAGTGTATTGAAGAAAATGAACGGAAACACTGGTTTGTGATTATTTATTACATAATGCATCATATTATTACCTTATAACTGCTGAAAAGTGCAACCAACACATTTTGAGACAATTGCCGCAAAATATAAAAACATTGTTACATAATGCAGTTTAAATGCAGCTTTATTACATTTTGAAGCCCAGTTTTATTAAATTATTACATAATGTGTCATTATTATTTATGCGGCTTTAAAAGCAGTGATCTTACTGTGAAGGCTCTGTTGACGGCGTAGTTGGTGATGATTCTTGCATTTCTCCGTGTTTGTCTCAGTCTTTCTGGGCTCGGGGCTTTGATAAATATCACATAGGGCTTCAGATTTCTTAACCGTACCAAATGAATACTCTGAAAATGAAATATAAATAACATTATTTTCATCATAACTGTTGTAAGATCTGCACAGTAAAATGTACTTTACGTTCAGTGGTGGGCACCAGTCTGCTAAAGCACAAATCCACTAATTGTAGACCTAAAAATTTCATTTGCATTTTAGCTGTCTTATTAATTTTTATAATTCATAAATGGATTTGCACTTTCTAAAATTAAAATGCAGTACCACTAATAACTAATTATCTACCAGTCATCATTATGTTGAACAGCAGAAGGTATGACTGTCAATGAATCACAACACATGTGATCTATCCAACAGCACCCCTCCCAGATAAACACTCTCATTGTGAAGGTATACATCCTGCTGACTGTTGCTTTGGGTCACGCTTCTGATTTCCCACAATGCTTTGTGTCTGCTTACGTAGCAGGAAGGCAATGTTTAGAACTCCCTTTTCCAGCAAAAACAGTTAAAGTTTGCAGTTCATACGAAAATTTCGTATGTATTGATTTATTTTACTTTACAGTCTGAGCTCCTTTTTTAAAAATAAAAATAAAAATAAAGTTTAAAAGCTGGAGCTCAAAAGCAATCGGCCAACGGTGTTAGAGGCTCAATAATGATTTAAAGATGTTATGCTAATGAAGACTGACATCTAGTGGTCAACTGGAGCAACTACATGGAAAATGTCCTAATCCAAGTAAAATAAATCAAAAATCAGTAGGTCCTCTGGATGGTTCTTTAGTGAAATGTTTCGGCTCTCCTCCAAGAGACTTTTTCACTCTGATAAGTTTCAGGTGAACTGGAAAACTTTHAAATCCAAGCTCTTATTTTGAAGGGAAGATACTAGATTCCTGTTCCCCGTGCTTTCGTTGCTCGTCAGTTCGTCATGTACCCAGAGTGCATCACTTCAGTTTTCCAATAAACAGTTTTAAAATTACTTTATTGATGCTTCCTTAATGAAAAATCTACAACAAACAAAAGAAAAAGACAAAGAAGCAGCCGAACTAGCAATCCTCAACAACTTTTTAAAGAATCAGCCGAACTAGCAAGCCTCAACAACGTTTTAATTTTCTACACCAGGAGTCAAAGTTCCGTTACAGGAAATCAGATCCTCAGCAATCGGCGGTTGAAGGATTAAGCTGTACAAGAGTTCGTACACCACTAGTTGGCAGTGTTGTACATATATTGTACAAGTCCTGATGCATCTCAGTAATCCAGGTAAAAAATCAAAAGGAAAAAAAATTGTATAGGTCCTCTGGACGGGTTCTTCTTCCATGTGATGTGAGTATGAGTCACCAGTGAACGATAACCATGTGATGTGAGTATGAGTCACCTGTGAACCATAGTCATGTGATGTGAGTATCAGTCACCTGGAGGCAGGACTTAAAAGCCTGAATTTTGCCTGAAACTCTCAGACTGAAGAAGTCTCTTGGAGGAGAGACGAAACGTTTCATTAAAGAAGAACCCGTCCAGAGGACCTATACAATTTTTTTTCCTTATATTGTACATGAATTGTCAGCTAGTAGGTGTCAAATTGAACTTGTGCTTTAAAATTAGCTTCAGCTAATTGTTCCATGACATAAGCATTTTTGAAATTGTGGGCCTAAATATTTTCTTAAGCGCTTTAGAAATTGCGAAGCTAATTTTTGGATTAGTGCTGCCCACCAAAAGTTGACTTTAGTTAAGGACATTAACTTATAAGGAAAACTGACAAAAAGTATTGCCACTTTCCAGAAAGTGAATTGTTTTTTTAAATGTTAGCATTAATTGACGCTTAAACGACTCACAGGCGGTTCAACATCAATGATGCACATTCGTCCTTGTTTTAGCACCTCATCAATGGCATCCATACTGGTTCCATACAGGTGGCCCCTATTTTCCCCATACTCCACGAATCTAAAGATAGAAATATTTCAGCAGAATGTTTAAAACAGTAAAAAAAAGATCAGACATAAAAGAAGATAAATAAAATAAACATGAATATATATGATGTTAATATCCAACCAAAAGCATAGTCATGCTTACCTGTGGTTGCATACCATGTATTCAAACAACTCTTTGGTAACAAAATGATAGTCTCTTCCTGTCTGCTCCCCTTCATTCATTGGACGAGTGGTATCTGCACAAACACAGTGATAGCCTTTCACTGAACATTTGACAGTTTAAAGCAGAACCCTGAAGTTCCAATAATACAGTATACTCATTTACTGCGTCATAGTTTGAGATGAGGTCAACTAAAATTACTGACCTGCTTTAAAGGTGACAAATAACTCGTTTCTTCATATATACGTATTTATTTGCAATGTTTCTGATAACTGTTTGGATAAAAATGGTCTGTTTTGATTGAATGGCTTAGATGAGCTCACGTACGTGGTACAGGTCCCTGAAAGGTTGAAGGGTTCAGTTTGATGAGTCTTTTCCTCAGCTCATTCACTCCAACTCCTGATGCACCTGTTTAAAAACATCACGACACATGAAACAATACTCTTTGTTGTTTCTGTCAGTTAACACCATGACAGTCAGAGTATCATACTGGCAACAAAATTATTTGAAGGGACTCTTTTTTTCAGTTCATAACTCAACAAAACCCATAAGAGAGAGTTAGTATCTAATTACTAAAACTCCAGCAGTGTAAAATATACTGTGAATGAAAGTCAAATTTATTTGCAGAGAAACTTTCCAAGTTGTCTTAAGAAGGAAAATGAAAGAAACTTAGACAACTCTGTCTAAAGATTTAAAGCTGAAAGAGATGCGGAAAACAAACCCATTATATCAAGACTAGACTAACACAATCCGGTTGCTCCACAGAATCACCACCTAATGTAGTGAAGGGGCTTGTGTACCCCTGTGGTGCAGGGGGTTTTGTTGCACAAGGCATTAACCATTGTTAAGTTCTTGCATGACAAACTGGCCTCAAAGGAGGGGTCTGTTCAAAGAGCAAACATTAACTTTGATGAGAAACGAGGACCACAGACAACGTCCCGATGTCCTGATCAAGGAAATGGGGGCACCTCAAGGGGTCAGGCCATGGGGTAGAGCTCACTGTCAAATGGCCGGTCGTCGAGCCTTGGCTTTTAGGGCTCAACAGGGACAACCAGAAAAGACTAGGGGCAACCACCCATCACATGGAGAGCCATCTAGGTCTGGTACACTGTAAACCAAATGGCAGTTGAGGATACAACCCGGGCCATGCTGATTGCTGATGACACAAACTGGCTCTTGGAACATCACCTCACTGGTTTGTGAGTGAAGAGTTGTACTCTACATGTGACAAGGGAGAAGGATAATATAGTCTTTAACTCCTCTGGGAGAGAGATTTTTGTAGGTTCCTGGGGAGGATGGGGACATGGAACTAAATGTTCAAGGCCTTTATTGCAGAAGCAGATTCCAGGAGTTAATGTCCAAAGTCTGAGGACTCAGAGGAAGGTGCATATATTAATGTGACAGAGATTTCTGAGGTAATTTAAATACTTTGGTAACACTGTATAATGGGTCAACCAACACCAGAGTGGACCTTGTGAGTTGCCCATGGAACATGTTCTAAAAATAGCACTAATAATCATAGGAGCAGTGTGCTACATGCTAATGCAATGCCCCTCAGCATGCAACAAAGGAACAAAAAGTCATCTGTGTGCTCTTTAGAGCCTGTGTTAACATCCCCACCCCCAATAATGGCAACAGGAGCTGCTGTTAATGCTACGTCTCACACTAAACACACAGTAAAGCCTAGGTTATAGTTGACGCGATGCAAAGGGCGCGAGGGGGTTTGCGTCAAATGTGATGCAATTGCGGCGTCCCAGCCCCTGTGCATTGGCACTGCGTTGTGTCCTGGCACATGGTCGTGCACCTCCGAAATTTTGAAGCTCTGCAAAGATGCGTGCCACTCGTCGTGAAGGTGCTCTCGCTGAACAGGTCCAAATGTACCAGCATCTGTATGATCCCTCCATGAGAGACCATAAAGACAACCAGATGGCACAAAACTCATGGAAGGAATTAGCAACGGCTTTAAATAAAGATGAGTTAATGTGCCGGAAGACATGGAAAAATATTTGCGACCAGTTTGTGATCCTGGAGGAAACAAACCAGTGTTGCTCTCTCAGTTCGTGAAGCACAGAGAAACAGATATTATATTGGTTATTATTAGTTCTGCCATATTATTTCAGATTATATGGCAAAAGAGGTAAATGTGGTTACTTTGTTACGTGTGACGTCAAGCGTTTCTTGTTCTACACTCTCTGGTACTACTTTCCCACTGGTTTGGCACCATACTGCCGTCTGTCAGTGACGGAAGAACAGCGATAACATGAACGTTATTCTGCTCTCCTTGTGTGTTTAACAACGCAATTCAGCAGTAAGCTTAACTCCATTTAAATGAACACTTGAATCAGGATACAGGTTTCTTCTGCTTTATTCCGGTGACCCAAGCGCTCATACAACATGGAGTAAACTGTAACATAAACAAAACAGCTGCATTTACTATGAGTACAAAAGAGTTCAAACGAAATACACATTCTTAACAAATAAGACACTAAATAAAATCTACTCTTAAATATTAAATGAAAACTTACAGACGGTGATGTCGATGGCGTAAACAAAAGGCTGATTGCAACCGATTCACCTCCTCACATGTGACAGTAAAAAACAAAATGGAACCTAACAAAACRGTTGACTTCCTGTCCAAGTCCTACCTTGACCTTCAAAATAAAAGCCTTATTACTCTTAACATAATTGAAGGGCATAACACTCCCCGCCTGGTATCTGTCAAGATGCCACATATCAGTACTTAGAACACAAACTTAGAAACTTGTTAGTCCTCATTATTTAAAAGCATAACAACTTCTG